ACCCCCGAAAACGGGAATGGGACCCCCAAAATCGGGATCAGCACCCCCGGAATGGGGATCGGGACCCCCAAAAACGGGAATGGGACCCCTGGAATGGGGATCGGGACCCCCGAAAACGGGAATGGGGAACGGGACCCCCGGAATGGGGAATGGCACCCCGAAACCGGCCTGGGGGGCACACGGGGGGCACGGCACCCCCAAAATCGGGATCAGCACCCCCGGAATGAGGAAGGGGACCCCTGGAATGGGGATCGGGACCCCCAAAAACGGGAATGGGGAAGGGGACCCCCAAAATGGGGAATGGGACCCCCTGAATGGGGAATGGGACCCCTGGAATGGGGATCGGCACCCCCAAAATCGGGATCGGCATCCCCGGAATGGGAACGGGACCCGCGAAATGGGGAATGGGACCCCCAAAATCGGGAACGGGAACCCCGAAATTGGGACGAGACCCCCGAAATCGGGATCGGCACCCCCAAAAATGAGAATGGGGAAGGGGACCCCCGAAATCGGGAACGGGACGCCCAGAATGGGGAACGGGACCCCCGGAATGGGGAACGGGACCCCCAAAACATCGGGGGAGCCCCCGGGCGTGTGGGGAAGGTGCAAAAGCCAAAATTGGGGGGGAAAAGCCAAAAATTGGGGTGGGAAACCCAAAAATGGCAGGGAACACAAAATTGGGGAGGTTGGAGGGAGGACCCCAAAATTTGGGGGGTTTGGGGTCACAGGGATGTCACGGCACCCCCAAAATTGGGATCGGCACCCCTGAAATCAGGAACGGGACCCCCGGAATGGGGAACGGGACCCCCAAAATACCGGGGAGACCCTGGTCCTGTGGGAAAGGTGCAAAGCCAAAATTGGGGGGGAAAAGCCAAAAAATTGGGGGCAAAACCCAAAAATTGGGGGGATTCTGGGGGGGAACCCCGAAATTTGGGGGGTTTGGGGTCACAGGGAGGTCACGGGACCTCCAAAACGAAATGGGGAATGGGACCCCCAAAATATCGGGGGAGCCCCCGGTCCCGTGGGGAAAGTGCAAAGCCAAAATTGGGGAGAAAAAGCCAAAAATGAAAAAGCCAAAAATTGGTGGAAAGCCAAAAATGGGGGGGGGGGGACACAAAAATTGGGGGGTTGTGGGGAGGACCCTAAAATTTGGGGGGTTGGGGGTCACAGAGAGTCATGGGAGCCCCAAAATTGGGATCGGGACCCCCAAAATATCGGGGGAGTCCCCAGCCCCCACCCATGACCCCAAACCCCCCAAAATCAACCCAAGATCCCCCCTCACCCNCGGGACCCCCAAAAACGGGAATGGGACCCCTGGAATGGAGAACGGGACCCCCGGAATGGGGAATGGCACCCCGAAACCGGTCTGGGGGGCACACGGGGGACACGGGACCCCCAAAATCGGGAACGGGACCCCCGGAATCGGAATCGGCACCCCCGGGATGGGGAACGGGACCCCCAAAATCGGGAAAGGCAACGCTGGAATGGGGAACGGGACCCCCGGAATAGGGACAGGACCCCCAAAATCGGGATCGGCACCCCCGGAATCGGGATCGGCACCCCCAAAATTGGGATCGGCACCCGCAGAATGGGGAACGGGACCCCCAAAATTGGGAACAGGACCCCCAAAATATCGGGGGAGCCCCCGGCCCCGTGGGGAAAGTGCAAAGCCAAAATTGGGGGGGAAAAGCCAAAAATTGGGGCCAAAACCCAAAAGTGGGGAGGGAACCCCGAAATTTGGGGGGTTTGGGGTCACAGGGAGGTCACGGGGCCCCCGGAATGGGGAACGGGACCCTCAAAATATTGGGGAGACCCCGGCCCCGTGGGGAAGGTGCAAAGCCAAAATTGGGTGGGAAAAGTCAAAATTGGGGCCAAAACCCAAAAATTGGGGGAGAGGAAGCCAAAAATGGGGAGGGGTATGAGGGACAGCCCGAAATTTGGGGGGTTTGGGGTCACACAGGGGTCATGGCACCCCCAAAATTGGGATCGGCACCCCCGGAATGGGGAAGGGGACCCCCAAAATATCGGGGGAGCACCCAGTCCCATGGGGAAGGTGCAAAGCCAAAACTGGGGGGGAAAAGCCAAAAATTGGGGGGGGGGGTTGAGGGACACCTCGAAATTTG